AATGGTAGAACCTTGGACAATTTTCACTTCACTTATTATGCAGAGTGTACTTCAAAATTGTTACCAATATTAAATCTGATTTTCTTCTCCATTGATTTTTATCAGATGATTTCTCCATTACTATTTCCTTACCTTTTTTGCCTGGCAATATTCCTTTTCCATTACTTTTCCTAGCACCCAAGGTCTCCTAGATGCACCTGAAGCTAAAGAGACAATAGATTTATTACTTTGGGTAATCAACTACAGATAACAGGGTATTATATTTAATATAATTAAAGATTATTTGTTAAAGTGATTTTACTTTCAGTGAAATAAATTCTTAAAAAAAACCTTTTTTCAAATAAGTTGAAAATATGTAAGTTCAGATGTCAAGACAGGTCACTGAAATTCTCAAACAAAAAATTTGATTTTTCAGATTAAATATTTTTAAAAAGTTAAAATTAGAGAAGACAAAAGCAGGTCAAACCAGAAATTCATCTAATGATTCAAAATTATTCTTGCCAATACAGCTTGATCTTTAGGGTTGATTTAAGGTGAGAATTTCTTGAATTATTTCAAAGGAGAAGACATCTTTCGTACTCAGCTATTATTATTGCTCTTACTGAAACATTTGATTATTTTTCTGTATTATTGATGGAAAATTGTTAGTCATCAATAATAATTTCAAAGCCCTACAAGTCTGCTAGTTTTGGTCACAGTCCTCTGAAAGTACCCGGTGCTGTTCAGAAAGGAAAAAAGTGGAAAAAACCAAAATAGTAAAGTGACAGCTCAAAAGAGCAACAGTGGGCATGAACTCTGAGCTTGTATTCATTTCTGTAACAGTAGGGAAATGCATATTTGTCTTGTATTCCATGAAACTATACCCATTTTACTTGCTTTGTTCTTTTCTAACTACCACTAATCATAGCACAAAGAAAACATCAGAACAGACATAAGGAACAGCTCACGTATGCTCTACATAATACTAAAATCAATGCTTTTCTAAGCATGATTGTTTATGAGATCCTGTCTGTATCTAGTGACTCGAAAATGAGTCACTCGGGAAGCAGATTTTGAAATTTGAATCTTACCCTTCAAGATTACTTTGGCTATTAACAATGCAGCAGATTCTGCTCTACTCCACACTCACACAAATCAGTGCAAAGCATTTGTATCTGGCCTGAATGCTCTACAACTAATACTTAAATCACCAAAAAAAACCCCACAACTTTTTACTTTGCTTGGCCAACAGCCTTCATTGATCTAACAAAGATAGTGAGAAAGATGCAGGGCTTTTTTCCTTACATTTGCAAAGGAAAAATTCCATATCCCAAAGATAAGAGAGAACACAGAAATCACGCAGTGCTCAAGCAATTTCAGTGTTGGCATAGCACTTTCAAGTGCTCTTAAAGAAGGCAGAGAGTCTACAATAGCCTAGATCCCTGACACTTAACATTGTAGGTGGATCTGTAAAGAATTATTAACTTGCTATGTACAGTTGGTACCAAAGGGCAGATTTAGACGCAGTCTTAAAAAAAGATTCATACTTCAATTTAACTAAGTTTAAATTGCTGGCAAAGGTAGCCAACAAATAATCCGAAGATTAAGGGAGGAATAAAGCAAATGTGGCATCAACCTGAACATAAACAAAACATAGAGAAACTGTTCCCTGATTTCTGCTGAACACCATTTAAATTGGGTGAAAAAACTTTATCAGCAAAAATATTACTTGCAAATCTCCCTACATCGTAGTCTACACTTGTTGAGACATTTATTTGGGTACATAAATTCTAGTCACTTTGCAGAAGATGAGGCACAGAGAGAACAAACCGTATCCAGTGACAATCTTCAAAGAATAGCATAAAATTAGTTATTTAAAAAATAAGAACTGAGCATGCAGTTTTGACAGAAACATTACCTTGAGTTTTGTATTTACTTTCATCAAAAAAGACACTGAAAACATAAATCCATATAAAAAGAGGCCTAACACCTACATAGTTATACGTTACTATTCAAGCTACTGAATAGGTAAATAGCCTGATGGGAATGTTTTCATCACAGACATGTTAACATACACTGGGTATGTACAAAATTGGCTTTTTCTCTCTTTTTTTTTTTTTTAAACAGCTTACTTAGATGCAGAAATTTTCCCCTATTCTTCCAAGATATTAACATCCATATGAATTCATGATTTAAAGTGTCATCTGCCTTGAAAGATGTTTAGCGTCAAAACAAATAGCAAAAGCTACAAAGACAGCTGATAGCTATCTACATTAGAGGCTTCTCATTTATCCTATATATATGTATTTATAAAATCACTTAAGTGTTAGAAAGTTGAGTGTTGTTTGTAGGAGGAGATAATTGGAAGCAATCCGACACTTACCACACTCACCTGGTTTGAGATCCAGTGCAGCAAGAGATTCTGAGTGCAAGAAATACAAGGTTGGACTAACAGTAAACAACACATAGTTGTCGTGCCTCTCGTCCAAGATAATGAGAACCAAATCGCCAACCTGAAAACTAGAAGAAAAAAAAAATCAAGGTACTTAACTAAAAAAAAGCATAGAAGCTTAAAACTACACTAATTACACTACAATTTCTTCCCAAGTATCACACTTCCCAAGCAAGTTGAACAGTAGTATGTTTCTACTTATGCCAAATTATATACATTTTATATTTTCTGAAGTCAACAAAACACTAACTTTTTAAAAAGTTTTTGAAATGTTCTTCCACTTCCATCAGCTCAAAGTATTCTCTTCAAAAGAACTGACAGTTTTGCTTTAAAATATAAACAGAACTACCTAACAAAATACTAGGGTTTCAATTTTATATTACTTTCATTCACTAATACTTGTGGGAATAATCAGTGTATTAGTGTTTATAAACGCTATTCTGATGCTTTAAACTGAGTTCCATTTGAACACGGAAAAATATAGCAAAATATTTATGCAGCTATTCGATCTTAAAATTTTAGGCACACAGGACAAAGAAGGGATGAAATGTTGTCTTTGAACAAAGCAAAAGAAACACCATCATGACTACATAAAAAGCTTCAAAAATCTACTTCTTCCTGCCACCAGGCTAATACAAAACACCAAGTTCTCAGTGCCAAGTTTCACTAACAAAATTCAGATTAACTTTTTCTCTCTCCAACTTCTGTTTCACAGTACAAATGTGTTGGAAGTAAATTTATCCATTAAAGAAATTAAGTCTGAAATAGCAACAAATTAAGCATTAGACCATGAAAGGGCTCTAAGAATGAATATGACTCCTCCTCCTCCAGGGATCTTCAAAAAGATTTTTTTATATTAATCAATTAAAATCAGACTGATAAATTATTTAAAAGCAGTTGGCTGTAGCTTTTGTATTTTGCAAGTATTAATACCTCTTTTTCCAGCAACAATTCTACATGCAGCTGCTAACAGATTGATAAGATCTAACAAATATTTGAGTTAATTTCATTTATTCTGTCAAGGTAAGCCAAAAATTTTGAAGACTTCAAGGAAGTAAAACTTCTCTTGGAATATAACGGAGCACTACGCATATTCAGGGTGAACAAGATTCCTTCTACTTTGTGTCATTTCAAGAAGGTTACATATAAACAGAAAGTAATCTAAAAGAACACTCTGGGAGGATTCTAGGAATCCCATGAGGTATGATCCCTATGAACTGTGTAAAGAAAATCATGGAATTTAAGAAAACCACCGACATACAGAATTCAGAAAGGCCCTTTTTCTGTTTAAAATAGCATTTATAAAATTTGATTTATGCCCAACTGAGATGGTTCAATAACTGACGGCTGAACTACAGAGATGACCTGTGTCTCTTCACTGCAGAGGAAGAACAGAATTGTGACATTCTTTAACTATACACCTAATATTGAAGGCATATCTATCTGTTTATACGAAAATCAACATTTACTTACTCTCTAATTGCTATTTTTTCAGAATGTCTTGCCGATACTGATGACATGCTCTGGGACATCTAGAAAAAAAAAAAGAAATGCTATAAAGTATTGGAAAGGTATGATGAAATGCATGTTGCAGGTAACAATATAGTTAAGATTAATAATTTCTTACTGATTTCAAACAGTGTCTATTCTTGCAGATCTTGTATTCACCCAAGAAAACAGCATACCTTTCTGTCATCCTGTTTTGTAGCAGGTTTCATTGTCTGCCTATGATTCTGGTATTTTGTTTTGTAAATGGCTACCTTTGATTATGATATTTATTACATAAATAATAAGGGAGAATTCAGTTAAAACTGAGAAGTGCTTTCCAGGTAAGTGCCAGTAAAGATTTGTCCTGAACATACACAAGACTTGTGATATACCTGTGCACTTTTTCTACAGAAGCCACTGGCTTTCTCAAGAAGGCTGATGGTAAAACTTTGGAAGTTAAATATGTTTATTGCAATTAAAATTTGGATGTTGAATTCTAGATTACATGATAGTCCAAAGCATACAAAGTTTACTGTAATAGACAGAGCAGGACTCCCTGGAATAAAACTGGAGTCAAAGTTTCTAAGACCAAACAAAGACTCAGTCATGTAAAGTTTTGGACATAATTCTTCTATCTTCTCTCCTATTTGCATGACGCTTGCCTTTAAATGTAATTAACACAGGCACATGAACCAAAGTCAATAAAATAAACTAGATCTAAAAATAAATGTAAGTATACCTACACTTCCTACAGTAACAGTAGTAAATGACTAACGCTGCTTTTAATCTACAAAAGGGACACGCATCTGACATACAGGCAAGTAGAGAAGCCCATCTGACGTAAATGCATACATTTCATTACCCTTTGGTAACTTCCTTAGAGAAGAAAATTCATAATTGCCCTGTAGAAACTCTAACTAGGTCTTGCAGTTTTTCCATTGTTTATTATTCCCTGGACCATTTATACACGCTATTAAAATCTAGATTACTCATACTTGAAGTTTAGCACAAGATTTTTCAGCTGTAACTCAAATATTGTTACCTACAGCACATTTCCTATTGACAGTCCTCCCCCCTCATTTCCCAGAAACAGTATCAGCCTGTCTTAATACGCGCCTGAAGCCTATTCACGGTTTTCTTCATTTCTTCAAAGAATGACTCAAAACTCAATACAGTACAACACAAAGCTCTCAACTTCTGATGACATTTTCAGCAGTTTTCTCTATGGGGTCCAACTTCCAATCAATGGTGTTTTGGGGTTTTTTTTTGTTGGTTTGGGGTTTTTTGTTAGAGACTACATTTATTTGGGTTTTTTTCCACATTCACATTTATTCACTTTTCTTCCTTGAAAAAGAAAGCGCAGCTAACAAAAGTTGTCAAATGCATATAATTTGCTTTGGTTGTTGGCTAAAGTGTCTGGCAGTTCTCTTCAGATGTTAAGACCAAAGATTGGCTTACTTTAAAAAAATAGAATAAGTGTTTAATTAAAATGCAAATGTGTTTGGTTTTTATATTTTTCATTAATTTCTAATTTTAAATTGAGAAACCTGACCTAGTGGAAGGTGTCCCTGCCCATGGCAGGGGGGTTGGAACTAGATGATCTTTAAGATCCCTTCCAACCCAAACTATTATATTATATGATTTTATGTTTACCATTAAAACTCAATAAAGAATGTTTTATGAGTTCTAAAACATTACACAGAAAAAAACGTTCCCTTTCTCAATAATTCATATAAAATAACAGAAATCCTGTAATAACATTCCTGGTATTAAAAGAAGCTCCTGTTTATTATTTATTGCTTGCAGAGGTAACCCACAACTTCAGCTGGAAAGGTCAGACACCTGAAAAGATTTTCTTTTCTTGTGCAGAACCAATTTGTAAGTAAGGAATTGAAAAGGTATTATGTTCCTATGCCCATTTAGAAACCAGTTTTGAATTGCTTTAGACACCAATGAGCTGCCAATTTCTCCTACACCGCTTAGTATTAATCAGAACAACAAAATAATTTTGTGTCTGTCTTACACAACACTGTTTTCTTCAATTTCAAATGAAGATGAGACAACAAAAGATCAAGAGTTTAATTCAGCAAAGCTACAGACATTTCTAAGACTGTACAGTGTGTTCTGAGTTTTATTTTAAAAACTACACTGAAACACCTCTTGTGCACTTCACGGACATTCTGAATAAAAAAATCCTTTTGTAAAAAATGCTTTTAGATGCACTGCAAACCTTTTATGTCCCCTATTAGCAGGGTTTTATTTACAGGTTTTAATGTGGAATGGAAAGTGTTTGAAAAAAATTTGCAATTCCACACCTGAATATGTAGTATTATAGTAAATTATATAGTAAATTTCAACCCTACACCTGACAGAAAAATGGCAGCTCCTACCAGAGAAACTTATCAAACCCTTTTACTATGAAATGTAACTTGCAACTACACAGACATCCCTTCCTACCAAATTCCTAGGTATCACCTGTCACTTAAAAAAACAATTAAATCTCTATAGACAGTCCAACCAATGAACTACGAAAGGACGTGTCTGTATCCCATAAACACAGTAATTTTTAAGAGTTAAGGTTGAGACCTGCTAGCATGAATAAACTCAGGAAAAATAAAAGGAGAAGGATTTATAGCACAGGAATCAAAGGACCTCTGTCACTATGTTCTTTTTCCTTCCACAGGCACTGACTATTATTTGAGTGTTTAAGATGATGGCCATTTGTATTTCCAGTTGCTAGACAGAATTTAATTTTCACACCTTGCAAAAGTGACAGGTGCAGTTTTCCAAAAACAATCTCAAAGTTATTGCTAACATTCCTAATTAAGCATAATGTGCAGGCATATTTACAATCTTGCAAAATGGCCTTCAGTCTGCTGTTGTTGAAACACTAAGCCATGCTGCCACTGAAATTAACTCCCCCTATCCCAAGCTTGGGTAGTCTGTGTTCTTTGGGAAGAAGTCTCTTTCTCCCGTCCTGTGAATCTTTTCCATGAGGAGACTACTAAATTGAGGTACCTCTGAAAGGTTATCAGGTTACCCATTTGTCATCTGCCTTAACACTTAAAACCTACTTGAAATTAGTAAATCACATTTTTAGACTGTAATGCACTTAACATTTGTATGTTCTCCTTATTTTTTCATGAGACTTAAAACACAGACTGCACAAATACTTACCAGTCTTTGATTTAATCTCTTATTTTCCTCCTCTTTCAACTGCAAAGTCTGAAAGAAAATCTCATCTGATTAAATAACTAAAATACCTTATACAGTATAAATATTTAAAAAATTTGATATGACCGGAGCCAGACTATTTATACAATACATATATTTACTAGAGCAATATCAAAACATCTTTTGAACAGACATGTAAAAAATCTGGTCTAACAATTACCACAGTGCTCCAAAATCCTCTGCTAAACTATGTTCACCTCCATACTCACCCATCTCAAGTTACAGAATCATTTCAGTGACAGAACAGCAAAAGAAATGTAATGTATTACTATTTTACAGCTTCTACCCGTGACAAATCCTTTGTAAGCAGATGACAGAATAATGCATGTAAGTGCTTGTAGCCAAACATTCAGCCCCTAGCATTATACAGTGCCACAATGCACTAACAGAACACATGCATGTTCTCTAACCAGATTTTAGTCTAAAGTGACCCTGGAAAGCTGAAAGGTGAGACTTTTTTTTTCTTTTTAAGGTCAACCTTGAGAGGCAAGAAAAAGGCAACTGAAGGGAGTTAGATACAACTGTATAGTTAGAAATTACTAGAATCTGAAAGATTCAGGTGTAACTAGTAAGAGTTAATCTAGCTTTTAACAAGGATAACTTATTGCATCAACAAGGTTCAATTACTCAGTGTACTTTGAAAGCTATGCCCAAAATAAAAGTTGTAAGAGAAGTGAAAATTTAAAGTGTGTATTTGGGAGAAGCAGGGGGAGTGTCTGTGTGATGTATAAACCTAAAAATCTAGCCTGTAAGAGAATAACAATAACTTCAGAAAATTGCAAGTTTTAAGCACATACATAACAAGTGTTATTTTACTTTTTACCAAAGCAATACTGTCAAGATTATAAGGCACCCCCAGTAGAATTACAATGACTTAAGTAGTAGCAGCCTAAGAAAAGAAGTTACCCATTTCCAAGAGAAACAGGTAAATTAATCTTAATTCCTGTTCAGCTGCTTTGGATGCTTTAATTTGAAAGAGTAATCAGAAATTCCATAGATCAATGACCTGTCACTCCTACGAAGAAATACTACACCTGACTCATTTATACTGAAGCCGACAAACTGAGTAAACAAACTTTAAGCTAGGCCAAGTACAATGTATCACAATTTATTTTGAATTACTTCAGTAATTTAGATATAGCAGATAAATTCTTCCCGGAGAGGGTGGTGAGGCACTGGAACAGGTTGCCCAGAGAAGCTGTGGATGCCCCATCCCTGGATGTCTTCAAGGCCAGGCTGGATGTGGCTTTGAGCAACCTGGTCTAATGGAAGGTGTCCCTGCCCGTGGCAGGGGGGTTGGAACTGGGTGATCTTTAAGGTCCCCTCCAACCCAAACCATTCTATCAAACAAGTATAATGATATTTATAAGCCTTGCAGATACTGTATTGCATCAGGGTATATCACTGACCACAGCACAAGTTCACACATATTTGTAAGTAAATAGTTGTAATGCTTAACTTTACAATCTACTCACTCTTTCTAACAACATTATCCTCTGTTTTTCTTCAGACATATGGACATTCTCACTAAAAGAAAAAAAAAATGGACAATTTCAGATTTTTTTTTTTTAAATGATCAAAAGTTACCTTTCCCATGCCCCCCCCTTCACTCAGTAATGAGTGCCATGTATTTGCTAGCATAGAAAGGTACCTTAGAGAATCAGCATCAACATCTGACCGAACATTTGGGGGGTTTCCCCCCCCTTAAAACCAAGGAGCTTCTTTGTTGCAACAAATCAGTAAATTTTCAGTCAATGATCAGTTTATGAATTTACATGGGGCCACTTCAGCATATTCTGCCTTGTTTTCAAAACATTAGGGTGAAAGATACAGCTCCAAATACTTTGGCAGTTAACATTTGATATTGTGGTTCAGCTCTACAAAGTTGTATTTTCCTAATCTTTGTAGTTAAAAGCTCCGTGTCCTGGGACACTCTGGTGGACTAATTTGACTAATGTGGACTTGCTAATTGTCTCCTTTTATCTGTGAGATAAACTGAGCACTGGGGCATGATAAAGTAATGCTAACATCCTAAAGAGGAATTTCCTAAGAACAAAGTAATTCCTAATACAATTAAAAAATATTTTTAAAGACAAGTTATAATAGGGAAGAAACAATATATTTTGTAGTCCAAACTGATCTGGATGGGAAAAGACAATAGACAAATTTTTGGACATAGAGTCCATTCATCCAGTCTGACAAAACATGCCATAAATCCATGCTAAATGCCAAGTAGAACTAAGGGATTATAATTAAGCCATGTAAATCGTGACTTAATTTTTGTTAAAAGGCTGTTCAGCTCTCCTGTAATAGGAAGACGTCAACAGGAACCTGTAATAATTTCTGCCTATTTATTACATGACTTTTAGTGCACTGAGCCAAAATTTTTTGTTCCCAGGCTTATCTTGACATGTTTTTTTGGTAAAGCTGCCTTGAGAGTTCAGGACTGGAATGATTACTCTAAGAAACAGTTCACCTTCTAAAGACAAGGTATTTCAGTGTTTTATCAATTATCAGTGCAAGTTTAGCTTGGTCAGCAACAACTGTTGTAATTCGTGCTTCCACAAAGTTATTTCCTGCACTGGGTATTATTCTGGGTTAGGCAGCATCCATTGTGATGCATGCCGATTAAAGTGAATGTAACAATATTTAACAACTCTGCTTTTGCTTCTCTGGCAAACGCTCATTCTAATTGTGTGTTTCCCAGTCAGGTTCATTACTTCTGTAAGAGGTAAGAAGTACTCTGGGACTGTTCAAAAAGCTAGTGGCACAGAGAGAAAATACATAGGTTGCAATTGTTTAATGATCTTCCATGAAGAATCTGTGTAAAGGGGTAGAAAAACAGGAGATTACAGCCCTCCTGCTTTCCTTTCAACAACAAAGATTCACAAACTAATCAAGTTGGTGAGTCAAAGATGCAGCCAATCTCTTCAGGTCAATGTTTAATGAAGAAAAAGAAAAATAAGTTACATGAAGTATATTGAAATTAATTTGGGATTCTAAGCTTTTTCCCTCCACGCAAATGACTATATTGCACCGTACAGTCCTAAAGCATACATCAGACAGATAATTTCAAGAAGCTTCAGAAATAAAAGGGAAATAAGAGCATACAAATTTTTATTTTAATTAGGATGATGAGATCTGTCTTCTGACAACATCACACTGCACTGAGGTAAACAGAACAAAGCAAACTTGCTGTTTATTCAGGGTAACATGATACAGCTCATGATATTTATCAACTTCACAAATGAGAAAGTCTATGTGGAGAACAGAGGAAATCTGACAATGCAATCGTAACTCATGTATTAAAGTCTGTTAGAAAACCATTGTGGGTGTAAAAGCATAAATGAACACATTTGATGCGACTGCTAATTTTTAGAAGTGCCTTCAGTTAAAATCCAAATTTCCTTAGTCACAGTAGAAAAGGATCTTAAAAGGAGTATGCCTAGTATAAGAGAATTAAATAAATGCAATCTTCCACCACAAGGAGGGAGAAAATGTCAGCATGAAGAACAGTTCTCATCAATCAGTAAAAAAATACTAAATGTTGACTATTTCAGTTTTCTTAGGCTGCTATAGCAGAAACATACTCATACTGTGGATATTTTATTTTTTCCTCATTTTCACCAGTTTCTACATAGAGCTAAAAACACCCAACTGGAATGGACAAAACTTCTTCCCCCTTTTTTCCTGAATGCTCTCCCAGTAATCTAATGAGAATGGATTCTCATACTGCACTAAGCATGGTAATAGCTGAGTATCTTTAGTAATGAGTCTTATTTTAATGCACACATACCATGTGCTAGTCATTTTGCCTTATTCTTGTCAGCAAGTACATGTAATAGAGTGCTCATTTCAGTACATAATTTTTAAGCCTAACATCTTACATTTGTTAAGAGAAAACTATGAAAATTTTAGAAAATGGAAAAAATAATTAGGATTTTTGCATGCATCATAACAAACCCTTCTCTTTGAGCATCAGTCTTTACTGTTCAAAAACCTTTACAAAATTACTTCAGGTACACTTAAAGTAAGAATCAAGGCTCTGAACTTGATGTACATTTTCATGGAAGTAAGTATTTAAAAAAAAAAAGTTACATCTGAAAGTAGCCTGGATTCCTGACAACAACCAACAGGACAACTTTGTAGCAGTCAATTATTTCATCATGTACTGAGACCAGATCATAGTCTACTCACTTTACATGTAGACTCTTATCTTACCAGGCAAGGCATGTATGCCAGTAACAAAGTGCACTGCTATTTCTGGGCACCCAAAACAGACAATATACTGAAGTCAATGACCGCAAACAACTCCCTTAAGTTACCTCCAATCTCTATAATCACCTCAGTATTTCAAGCACAGTTTAAGACACCTACCTGCAAACTAGCCCCTGCCTAATTAAAACTCCATGCAATAAAGAGCAATCAACAGTTCAACATGTGAGATATCAACATAACGTTACTTGAATCTGTTGTAGATCCAGATCATCAACCCAATCCAAACACAGAAGAACCAATCTCAAAATAAGAGTTTACAGTTTCAAGTACTTAAGTTGATTGCCCGGTTTTCCTCCAGTAAGGATTTAAATCATTGCAAACTTTTTTCCCCAGTTCCATCACTGCCTTTTAGTAAGTCAGCAGTACATCACAGCTGATGATTATGGGGTTATACGAAGGAGTGCTGAATACCTATCCTCCTCTCCAGTAATACAACACATCAATCCATCAAGGCCACTCAATCTGCCTCAGTCTCCCTACTTGTGTTGAATCCTGAGGATTCAGTCTCATTTCTACCAAGCATATCTATTGGCCCTTCCCCCTTCTCAAGGAATGTCATTGTGCTGTCTGATAGTAAACATTTAAAAACAAAGAACTTTGATTGTTGTTGTACAAGACAGCCAGTCACTGTTCAAAAGACAGACCAATAACACACAGCCACCCAGCTCATTCTAGGCTGCTTTGACAACTGTTTTCTCCCATTTGACTTCTATTTCATATACGCTAGGTCTATTTTTCTATCTCAAAGATGAAACTTGGCCTCACAGTTATAAGTTACATACTTCTAAGTCATGAAACCCACACATTCCTAATGGTTGTGATACCACAGTCGTATGCATACGTTTAAAAGAATACCTTTAAGCAAGAAAATCAAAGCCAGAAGGAGCTTTAAACATGCTCATTCGCATTTCAAAACACCCAACAGCACACATTTGAAGAATAAGAGCATGCTTTGTCTATTTCTACTACAGTGCCCCATACTTACTGCACAGCCATCATGCTGGTTTCCATTGTGGAGTCCATTCTCCCTTCAGCTGCAATGTCAGAAACCAATCTGTCTGCATCAGTGGGAACATCCCCTGCGCAGGCTCCACAAGCTTCTGAAGCTGCTGCTGAGTAGGTTGATGGAGAAAAACTACTAGTTCTCAGTTTATTAACTTCTTCTTCAAGCTTTTTCTTCTCTTCAAGTAAGCGAGCTCGGTCTTCAGAAAGCGTTTCAATCAAATCTAGGTCACAAGAAAGTAAGAATTCTTTTAATAAGAGCAGCACCAAGGATCAAAACAAACCCATAGTGAATGGAATTTTTCTATTAGAAAAGATGAATACTACTTCAGAACTTTGCTTACCCTTATCTTTTTCTTGCTGTTGTGTAAGCATTTTTAATTTGTCACTAAGATCATTAATTATGTTTTCTTTTTTCATTTTCTCTCTTGTCAGAACAGTGTTAAAGTTGGTCTGAAAACAATGAAGATAATTGAAATAAAGAAATGGTACTGTATGCAATGCAAAAGACGTGATTAGAACAGAACAGTACAAAACGTATCATGCATTTCAGTCTTCCAAATTGTAATTAAACAAGGAATTAAACTTTTTTACATATTACTTTGGTGAAGAGATAACATGCCTGCACATTGTATTTTGAGGTTTCTCAGTAAGGTATCTTTTTATAGGTTATTTCTATCCCTCTGATTTCCCCAAGCCCAATATACACATGTAGTATAACTATAAAGAAGTCATCATTTAAAAATAATGTAAGTTGTTGGGGTTTTTTTAAACATAATGCTTTATATTCCAGATAATGCATGATAGTTGCATGTTTTATATTAAACAAAATATACTTTAAAGATTAAAATGGTTATTAAGACAAAGCTGCACCACATCATGTGCTACATGTAATAAAAAAGAAAAACCTCATTCTTAATAAGCTAGATTAAAATACTAGAATCTGAATTAAAAATACATTTCAAGTCCTGCATTAATTCCTCAGTGAACAATTATTTAATGCAGAAGTCACACAGGAATCCTGTCTAATAACTTAAGTAACTGAACATAAGAGGCTAGAATATCTTTCAGGATCAGTCTGACAAATCTTTCCACTTCTTCAATCCTACCAAGCATTATGCCCTCACCACTTGTGCTCCTAAGGTCGTACTGAAAGAGAGACAAAAGTTACCAACACCATCTATTAAAAGGATATTTTAAACTACATCTTCACTCTTTTGGTGAATTTTAAGATTGTTTTGACCTACACCTACCAACTCTGAGTCCTAAAATGCAAGCTATTTGGTAGGCTACACACCTCACACACTGCACAGCAGCCTTTGGCACATGTGTACCTACCATAACTGTCACATACCACAAGCATAAGCAACACCTCTACGATAATTTTAATTTGGGGGGGGTTTGCTTGTTTGTGGGGATGAAGGGGTTGAGTGTGTGTTTTCTGGTTTCTCTTGCTGTTGGTTTTTAGGTTTTTTCCTCTTTAGTTAAAGGTTTTATCTTTCCCCTGAATTTGCTGTTAATGCCTCAGTACCTTCCCTTCCACACACAAATGAAGATTATTATTAGAAATGAGGAAAATGGTATACTAAGGCATATTCTATGGAAAAAGAAATCTTATGATTACCTATGAAACGTATGAAATACACCTGTCAGATCTGCCATGTGAGGCTTTTTAGTATTAAGTTTTGCAGTCCAAAATTTTCAAAAAGATTCCTTTCTCTATAACTGTCTGCGATTTTCTGCTCTCTGCACCAAGTGCCTCATAGCATTCATTCAACAAGCTGGCTGATCACGACACTGTCTCTTGTCCTTATTTGATCCTACCATAGCTAAAGTAAGTAGAGGTGCTTAAAACAGAAAATCCTTTCTTAGTGTTTAAATGCAACAAAGCTGTAGATAATAGCTGTTACTTACAGAGATTTAAGAACTGAAGACTCATCTACAAAAGTCTGAGAGATTCAAGATGTTTTGAAAGTAAAAAAATGTGTGGAAATAGATATAATTATTGACACAAAATCATATAGCACTGCGTTAAGGTGTAGAGTACCTAAACTGTTTCTAAGCTTTAGGCAAAATATAAGCCTCCTTTCAACCTCAAACACCACCTGCTTAGTTTAATAAAGTTTAAAAGCCAATAAGTAGCATTCCAAATTAATTAGTATTTTAAAAAATTAATTTTGTGTTGTCCACAAATTCTGTTATTAACTTGAACTGTACTTAACTGGTACCTTCCTGGAGTTCAACAGATTAATGGATAAAAATTTACAGCACTAGCATAACAACTTAAGCAAAAGAAATCACAAAAAATAAAAATTGAATCTGGATTGCCTGGTTCACAGATATTTAAGGTGAGGGTTTTTTTTGTTTTGTTCGCTTTTTTTCTTTAACTGCTGAAGTGTCAGATTCCATTAACACATCATATCCTGGCTCCAAATAGTGCAAATTTGGAACGTGTGTTACACTGGAGGGGTGGGGGGGAACCAAAAAAAACAACCCACAAAAAAACCACACCACACAACAAACACCAAAACAAAAGACCACACACCAAAGCCAACAAACCCCAAACTCCGTAATTTCAAAACAGCAAGAGAACACAACTGTCACAGGAGCAAAAGTAATGAAAAAGAAACGGCTTTACCTGCTGTTCTGCCGTGAGCGATGTTCTGATGTTCTGCATTTCTTCATTCTTTCTTTTCTCTTGTTCTTCAAGCTGCTCCAAGAACTTCATTTTTTCTTCCTGAAGCTTCTCTTGAAGTTCAGCAACCAAGGTTGATTCAGCAGATGATTCAGCGGGAGGACTTAAAAGAAAACGTTTAGGCTTTAAATTCGCAGCATACAGAAAGCTCCAGAATACACGAAATAAGCAAAGACGCAAAAGTCTGATGTTCCTTTTTGAGATGTCTTTCTGAAATGTTTAATAAACACTGCATTCCAATTAAATGATTACTGATCTTCAATTTTACTTTTAAATCACAAGCATCTCACCAAGTTATCCCTCTTGGGCATTCTGTTTTTTAGTGTACTACACAGGCTCTACATTTGAAATTTTGAGGGGATGATTTTTGGTTTTCATTTTTCTAACATTAACAGATGTGGAAAGTGGTAAAAAGAGCAATACAGTATCAACTCCCTCAAGATTCTTAGTATGTCAAAATGTAAAACCTCCGGAACTCTCCCATAATTGCAGCAAGTCAGCAATAAACCTGATGGTGAGGAATCCAGACAGGAAACTCAAAATTCTGTGTTGCAGAATCTGGAGAACAGTAATAACGACCATAAAGAAAGGAAAGCATCAATAGTCATTAAGGCAGGAAGGATAACAACCTTAAACAGCTCTTTAAACAGGCTTTGTTACACAGGTCAAATGTTCTCCATCACAGAAGCCAAAGCATTAACTACCTTCTTCTGTGTTCTGTCTTGAATTATCAAGAACCACCATTGAACAACACCGGGATAGACAAAATCCTTTGTTGGGCAACTTTCGTGAAAACCTATTATTTTAGATATGTGCTTTTGCTCTATACCAGTACTATATTTAATAACATTCCCACAACCTAGCTCTCCATCTATATACATGTTTCAATGGTTTTCTCTAGTCAGAGCAGCCTCGAGGTATGGTCTTCCTGATGTCATGTAGGTGGTGCTGAAATCAAAATGTTGTGTGCTAATACAGTGACATCCACAAGCACAACTCCTAACGCTAAAAATGCTCCAAGAATTCTTCTTCCTTCATAATGCAAAGGTTCTCTGTTAAGAATAAGAGCTACAGAACCTCAGAGATACCAGAAGATTCAGTATGGAGAATATGAAACAAAACTGAATTGCACAGGAGGCAGGGAACCTAAAATTCCAACAGCTGCATACTGGATGGAAGTTTGGGCATCCATGAAACCAGTTCCAGACATTTCCACCATGTTTGCTTTACTATACAATCCAGCACACACTTCCCTACCTTTGTTTGGCCATCAATTCTCCCCATCAAGGTAAGAGAGCACAGGTGTGCTGGATTCAGTCAGGAAAGAGTTAACTCCCTTTACCATGGCTGCTGGGAAGCTGTGTTCCTGGACGAAGGGGAGCAGCACTGATAAGTTCTTA